CTATACGACTTTGAGTTTTCTATTGCACTTAAAGATCGTACGAACGAGGATCAAACTCATCAAGTCAAAATAATTTTTAAAATAATTTTTTTCTAAGATATCAATTAATATTTCAATAAATAATTTTTTTCCTTTAGAAATAAAAATAACAACTAATAAATTCAAATTTTATTGAATATATAGTTATTTTTCTAGTAGCTTTTTGATAGAAAATTATGGTTAAAAGATGAAAATTACATTAAAAAACAATTGTTCAATAAATTTAATTTTTTTAGTAATCAAATTGTTTAGATTTAATAGAATTTTTAAGGAAAATTTGTTGTTAAATTAGTTTTGCAAGAAATCCTAAGAAATAACACATGAGTTGGAAGCAAAGGTCACAAGTGTTGAAAGTAAACATTCTAAAAGTCTAGAAGTCAATTGAGGCAAAGCGTAATCACTTTTAGTAGTGAAAGTAAGCATCTAGATACTTGAGGAGTGTAATATGATAAGTATAGTCACTTTCATCACCGTGACTATTTGAAAATTGCAATTAATTGTGGAGTGAAATATGATAAGTATAGTCATATTCTGTTTTTCTTTTGTTAGAAATTAATTAATCCTATTTGAAAATTGTAATTAACTGTGGATTTGAATTATAGGTTCTTGATTGTATTGAATGTTCATTTCTTTTCTTAATAAAGTTCTTGAATTAGCTATTGAATTAAATTGAGTTTAGATATATTACATCAATGTAAGTTAAGTGAATATCTCATATCTAAATTGAATGTTAAGATGTATGATATATTAGGAATAAACATTCATTATTCCATGATCTATTAATTTCTATTTCTTAATGCGATATTTGATTGATTTACACTTAAAGAATTAAAGTAATGATTAGATATTAAGATCATTGAGTTAAGAAATTGAACTTTGATTAATCTAGTAAAATTGATCATCAATTAATTAAAAAACTTAAAAATTTAGAATACAAATAGTTTTGTAATTGAATATTAGATGAAATTAATAATAACCTCATTTGATAAGAATCTCATTTCTTAAACCTTCACTCTAATTATTACTTTCTTCAAAACTAAAATAAATTTGTATAATTAAGATTTAAAGTAACTTTTGTTTAGATGTTATAGGAGCTAATACTTTTCTTATATGTAAACAACTTTTTGCTTATTTTTAGTTTCAAATATTATATTATTTTAATTTTTTTTTAAGATTTTCTTAAATTAAAATTTGATAATGACTCTTTCTCATTTTTTAAAAAAATATTTTTATTCACAGTTTTTTTTTAAATGTTTTCACCATACTATTATGAGTCTAGTTGAGATAATAAATATATAATTTAAAATTATTATTATTTAAATAAGTTTATTATTAGGCTTTTATAAATTAAATAAGTTTAGCTTAATCTAAATCTGATGTTTTAACGAGAAATTTTAAAGTGTTTTTCCACCCTTATTTAAATTGAATGTGCTGAATGTGATAGTAGGAAATGGAGTTCTCCGTATGACAACAAGAAATTATCATAAAAGAAGAAGTAATTTCCATAATTTACCTGTATCATGTATCATCTCATTTATGAATACTAGTGAATTCTGTTTTGTCTTAATTCAAATGCAGCATTGGTTCTTTGATAGGCTTACTTTTAATAAAGTAATTCTTTTACATGTATTTTATTTATTTTGATGAAATTATGGACTCATCCTTTCTTTTCTCCTTTGTTTTCTTCTTCGTGGTGTGTGTTTATTTGCTCTGTGCACTGTGTGTATTGTGTGCAGATGGGTTTCGACATGATGAATGTGTCAGTGCTTTCGACCGAGGATGACTTGTGAATATACAATGATACCACCCAACAGACGATTTACCAAGGGTTCACTAGAATGACCCTTGGATCAGTTACTAAAGTGGGTTAGGAGACCTGCCATATTACAGATATGTCTGTCGAGATTATCTTCGCTTTACCTTTATACGCTACCAGTATACCATTTCCTCTTATTCCACCTGTGGTCGCCCCTGCTTCCATGGACACTGATGTCCCTGTTCCTCTACCTATCCCAAATAGTACCCCTAACTCTTATGTACCTTGACCCTCTCTCCTCCTCCCATTGAGCCTAACTGTGTTGATATTCAAGTGATTGAGTCATCTGTTAGACCTCGTCCTCTTACTCCACCCCGTTGACTGTCACCCATTGACGAGGCTGGTCCCTCATACGGTAGTCCCTGACCACCTCTGTCCTCTCCACTCTCTCACATACCCCCACTTACTCCTGATTGGCTGGAAGATATAGACAAGGACCTGCCTAGTCTGCCTTCCAACCTGAATGCTACCCTTTTCACCTCGCCTGACTCTGATCTGGATTGATAGTGTCTTATGTATATATATATGTTCTCTTTTATATGTTGGGGCTATTTTGGGAAGAGGCTTGGGTACGGTAGTTCTTTTTCTCTTTTTGCAAACTTATCTTAATAATGCGCCCCAGGTGTTGTTGATGGTTTAGACTTTTATTTAGTTCTTTAGTTATGTTGTGATGATGATTATACACGATTGTTGAATCCATCTAGGAGATAATTTTCAATTATTATGTTATGTCTAGCATTACTTTTATTTTTACTAATTGGTTCTCTATCCTTATTAATTATTTAAATTACATACGCCAATTATTATACACTCATAGATATGATAGACGTTACGACTGAATACTATATTTCTATACATGCGCTAATTGTATTTTAGATTTGTGATGTCTGAATGTCACACCAAGCTTTAACATACATAAAGTTAATATTAAACATTTGAGTGTTACTAAAAAAGTCTCAAATAGTCAACTTACAATGTGTTCATAAATCTATTAATAACATTGCAAGTAGTCTTATTAAGATAGGGTTGAAAGGTTAGAATTTCAAAATCTATTTCTTTTCCTTTAAACAAAGACCTTTGAAAAATAGTTTAATTGATTTTTTTATGAAATTAATTTTCTTTTCTCATTGTAAAAAAAGATTGAAAGAAATAAAACATTATTATTTTATTTACTTAAAAAAAGTGAAAAAAATATATTATATACACCATTACATTTATTTGTTAGTCTGAGATAGATTATATAAAAAAATATATTAAAATTTGTCAATTTTTATCTCTCATTAAAAATCTCACTAAGAAGGAAATAATATTTTTTTTTGTTAATCTTATGTAATATTATTTTTCTTCTACATCTCTTAATTCTTACCTTCCTTATATTTTTTTCTCACTAAATAATTATATTTATATATTTGTAAAATTTATTTTTATATTATACTATGCCCACTTACCATATTTTTAATTCCTTTTTTGTATTTTCTTCTTTATATTTTATACATAAAAAGTGAAGTGTATTACATCTTTATTTTTATTTTATTTTTTTTATTTTTTGTTTTCCGGAAAGATGAGAGAATCCCGTAAAGAAACTTTTTTATCTCTCAAGTGAGAGAAGATATATGAAATCACGGGAGAATGCTGTCCACGATTTTCCACCTTTTCGTTGTTTTGTGCCATTTTCAGTTTTCTTTCCCCATCACGCGCCTTTCATGCTAGCACAATATGCGCCTTTCTTTCTTTTCTTTACAGCTGCATTAAAAAATTAACAATATACTTTTTTAAATATATTTTATATTATTCAATAAATTTTACAAAAATATATAAATTATATTTTAATTTAAGAAATTACACTCATACTTTTATTTAAATAAATTTTAATTAATAATTTAAAAATATAAAAAATAATTTATTAACAAATATTTCCTAATACTGCTCCTACGAACATTTGCTTCTAAACATAATTCATCGTAGAAGGTAGGTTTTATGAAATGATGGTAATAAATCATGAATTTAATTTAAATTATTATTAGTTATAAAACTTGGTATATTATTAATTAATTAAAAATAAGAATTATTTTTAATAGTATAATTAAATCAGTTTATTATAATATAACCTTTTGATAGTAAAGGACGTGAAGGGTTTGGATTGGGATTAAAGCCTGTACGCATAATAATACTATATACTTGAGTGGCCCACATGTAACAATATGTATAAGTTTCTTGGTGCATTGCACATTTGAAACATGCCACATTGTCGTAGTTGGGTTGGCCTTTTCATTTAAAATTAAATTCGGAAAAGCAGGGAATAGAGTGTTTTTTTTTTGTCTAATATAAAGCAAAATGGCTGATGGAATTTGGTAATTGTCATGCATGTATAAGTGGGAACCCCGAGCCCATCGTAACACCATCATCAATCCACATTTAATAATTAATATTTGGAAAGATAATGTTATATACATATAGCATCCATTTATTATGTACCCAAAAAAGATAAAATAGCATCCATTTAAATGGGATCCAACCAAGCAAGTAAAATTCCGAAGGATGGTGCCGTTCACAGTAGTCCTATCCAGATTCAACCCTGTAATCTAGATTAAAAATACAAAAACTAATTACTGAAAGATTTTGTTTGTAGTTGCTATTTTAGCATTTTCCCCTTAAATGATTTTACATGTAATGCAGACTTAAAATTTTAAAATATGTATTTTAACTTTTTTATTATTTTATTTTGAGGCAGTGTTTTTTTTTTCTCTCGTGAAAATGCTCGCGAATTAGACCTTTGAATAATTACAGGGATTGATTGTTTGGCATTGAAAGATTAATTCCAATATATTTTCAATAAAAAATATTTTTTAATAAAATATATCATTATATTAATTTATAATATATACTTAAATTGTTCAACAAATTAAATATTTTTTATTAAAAGTACTTCAACTGGACTTTAAACAAATAAATAAATCTACAGTGTCCCCACTGCTATAAGTAACTCGGATAAATAACTTCCCTCGTTTTCTCCATTTATTATATTATAATTCATGAGAAAGAAAGAAAGAAAGACCTTCAATTTTGTTGTGTTTCTGGTTGATTTTTTGTCATAATCACACATCGCCCAATATGCACCACCAATTTAATGGTCGCTGTCTAGTTAAGTGTTGCCAAGACTCGGTTGTAATCTAGCTTGTCCCAACGTGGGATTATGCTAAACTGTGTTGGCACCCCATTGGATTATCAAGCTTCTTAATTCAAGCATGGGAAGGGAAGCTATAGTATCAGAAAAACGATGAATCCCACGACTACGATGTTTCTTTAGTCATAAATAGTTCGATACCTGCTAAGGTTACCTTGATTTTAGTGAAGATTCTCGTATATATGTGTAGTCACAACTCTTAATATATTCACATTTGGATTGCGATTCCGTTGGTGACTAGCAGTGTCAGAAAGTGTGTGATAGGTGAGATTTGGGTTGAGTTGTGACCAGTGAATTAGATGGAGCTGAAATCTTTTTCTTGCAGTTCTGTGTCTACATCTGAGGTTGCCCATGGTGGAAGATCCTACAACACTTTGATTTCCAGTTCCACCCACAAAGTTGGAGTTAGATTTTCTAACCACTTCAAGTGCCGAAGAGGTAACAACCCAAATAGATTTTCTCAATAAACTGAATACCCGAATAAATTTTAGCTTACGAGTTAGAAGCCTCACCGCTGATTTGGTTTTGACACTGTTAAAAGTTGACATTTTGATAATAATTGTTGCCCGTTTTCTTTTCTTCTACAAAGAATGTTGAAAAAGTTAGTGTCTTCTTGAAAAAAAATGATTTTTTGGGTCCAATTGAAACATAGGTTTGAATGTTTAGTGCTCTCTAATCTTCAATTTCAGGGCTGTTTCTGAGGATTTATTGTGCCTCGGATAAGACTTACTTGGCAGATAAAGCTGTGATTAGTTCAGTCGGTCAAGATAATATTGAAGCAGAAACGAGTTGCCATTTTGTTAATGGAATAAATGGCTCAACTTCAAGCTTCTATTCCAGAAATCTGAGAGGACTTGATGCCTTTGATGATGAATATGGTGGAGTTGTTGTTGATCCAGATAGGTTACCAACCAACCCATTTGCCTTTGCATCTGTGCTGCGTTTATCTCTTTCTCATTGGAAAAAGATGGTAAAAATCCTTTGTCCATGTTCTCATCCTATGCTTAGGAATCAGTCAGCAAGTCTTGATGATTCTTATGTTTCTTCCTTTGAAAATAAATTTTATAGCTTTATGTAAGGCAAGCATATTATTATCTTGTGGGGAATGGCGAATGAGGACTTCTATAATGTCATCTTTTGGAAAAAACAAAATCAGTATTTTCCATTTAATTTTTTTTTGAAACTGCATCTGTTGTTTATTAAGCTATGTGATAATTTACAGGGGAAGAAGGGAATTTGGCTTAAGTTACCGTTAGAGCAATCTGACCTTGTTCCAATTGCTGTGAAGGTAACTTAGTTTAACTTCTCACATGTTTACCAAGGAAGAAATAATGAAAATATCATATGGATATGAGAAATCTATGTATGTTTCACTGTACTCAAACAACCTCACCTAGTAAGATAAGGCTTAGTTACGTGGATCACACAATACCATTAAATTTAGTCAAAAACTAAATTTTTAAAAATCTAGTTGATAAAAAAAAATTCTTTTAATAACTTCATTTAAGGTTTTTTTGAATTTTTCTCGACCCATTTTTTTACCAGACTAAGAGTCATGCAATCTACCCTCCTAACTCCAAAGGTCTTAACTGCACATAACTGAATCATCTTAAACGATTTTTAGTTATCTTTTTCATTATAGGTATTACTTTAATATTCTTTTATATACTATTATTTTGTATTATGTCCTTTCTTGTGTGACCACTCATATATCTTATCATTCTCATTTATGTCACTTCCATTTTTTTCTCATGTTGTTCTTTTATAGCCTTGCATTCATTACCATATAAAATAGCTGGTCGTATGTTTCACTATGCTCAAGTTCACAAAATTAACTCACAGAACATGCAAAAAAACCAGTACATTCATCTACTCATCTGTCTTTATTTAGTTCAATCTTTGTTTTTATTCAATGAAGAGTTGTTGTGGTTACTCATTTTTGTCACAGGAAGGCTTTCAATACCACCATGCAGAGCCAGGATATGTGATGTTAACTTACTGGATTCCAGAAGGCCCTTGCATGCTTCCAGCAAATGCATCACATCAAGTAGGAGTTGGGGGATTTGTCATCAATGACAACAATGAAGTATGATTCCTTCTATGACAAACTATAGAAATAAGTTCATCCCAATGGAATAAATAATTAAGAAAGCAGGAAATTTAGCACTTTGAAAGAAACTTTTTCAAGTTACTAAATGTTTAGCAGTTCTTTTAAATGATATCAAAACAGTTCTTATCTAATTTGAATCATACAAGCACTGACGTTTGCATAATTTTCTCCTATTGATTTGTGAAGGTGCTTGTAGTACAAGAGAAGCACTGTTCTCCAGCAACTCTTGGCCTTTGGAAGATACCAACTGGATTCATTCTTGAGGTACTTAATTTTCTTAGATGATCTAGAAACCAAATGAAAACCAAATTAGAAATGGTCTTAAATTGTACTCTCTTTTATCTAATTATGTTGCAACTTGAATTCTGTATCACTTGTCTGAATTATATCTCAGGCAGAGGAGATATACACAGGAGCTGTAAGAGAAGTGAAGGAGGAAACTGGTGTAAGTTTGTTGTACTTTGATATATTCCTCTGGTCTAAATTTATATTGAATTTATTCAAGAGGTTGTCTCATAAGTTTCAATTGTGTAAGGGCTTTCTTTTAATGGTAGTTCCTTTATGGTGCAGATTGATACAGAGTTCATTGAAGTCATAGCTTTCAGGTAACAACACCATTCACACTCACAACCATGTTATCATGAAAGTGAAAAATTTCTTTAATACAATAAATCTGAAATACTAATTATTGATTCTGGGAATGTTCTACATTCATTTTAAATAATATGTGACCATCAAATTATGATGTGATCTATGTTGAAAGTAATTGGATTACTGGACGGGTTTGTCTTGTAATGAATCATATGGTCATAGAGTACTGTATAATTTAGTTTGTAGTTCCACTACTGCAGCATTTTTCTTGTATCTTCGTTAAACACATAAAGATCTGAAGATTTTCGTCATCAATTCTAGGCATGCACATAATGTGGCCTTCGAGAAGTCAGATTTGTTCTTCATCTGCATGCTAAGACCCTTGTCATCTAAGATCATTGTGGATGATCTTGAGATTGCAGCAGCAAAGGTTAGATATTCCCACACATGAACACAAATATAGGAAACTATTCTTGGAAGTGGTTAACTTCTTTCTTTGCAGTTCCTTATGTTTAATTCTCTCCATTCACATGGATAGTCACCAAATAAAGCATATCTTCGTTTTTTATTTTTCCTTTTCTTTGCTTTATTTTGTAATCATTCCCAAATCCATATCTGGTGAATCATGACCAAAGAAAAAACAGTCATTACTAGTTGCATAAATTTCCCTTGATCACCATATAGTGATTAAGGTGGCATAACAGTTGCTTTGTTAAGCAAACATGAAAATATAGTATCTTGTTACATGCATAAGTTTTACTTAACTGATTCTATAGATGTGGACAATATCTTATACTGAATCATAATTCAAACATTGTTTTGATTCTCAAGATTGGTTTCTGCGTATCTTATAATTCTTGTGTGATGTTATGCAGTGGATGCCTCTAGTTGAGTTTGTAGAGCAACCACTTATTCAAGAAGATTCCATGTTCAAGAAGATTGTAGATATCTTTATTGCTCGTCTTGGGAAGCGTTATTGTGGCTTATCAACTCATCAAATAGTTTCAAAGTTTGATGGCATGGTTTCTTCCTTATACTACAATGTCATAGACAACGAAGATAACAACTGTGTTGGAAATTAAGGAGCTGAAAACTCAAGAAGGCACATCTCTGTGGCTCAATGTCAACAAGCTGAAAACTATGCTAACCAGTCTAATATGTAACTTATAAATGAAAATTTATATATAAATGTATATAAATATGTCTAATAACAAGGTTCCTATGGAACATGTTTGATCATCACAGTTGTTCCTCATTTACCGATAATCCTTGCAAATAGAACATTCACTACATTAACGGGCCTCGATGTTATAATTTATGGAACCAAATCAGCATATGTATTTGAAGGTTAACATGTATGTGAGAGACGAAGTTGGCCATGTAACCCTACCTTAAGCAGCATACACACTGAGTCGAACCTTTTATTTTGGTCGTTATTCTCTGTGGACCTCTAGTCCCATTAACATGCTATAATCCATATTAATGCGGGTAATGTTTTTTCAAGGATAAAATTTAGGTGTGTTGTTTTGTTTTGTATGCGTTGTTTTCTAATTAACGGTATAGCTTCATTTTAGTAATTTATGACAACATCAAATATAAACTTCTATGTAAATGAAAATTTAATTTTGATTCAAAAAATATTGAAAATTTTATATATAAATTGTCTTTTTTCCAACAATCCAAAATCACCAACTTTTTTATTCAATCATACTTAAATTATCAAAAAATGTATATGTTAAAAGTGTACTCTAATTAATAATAACAAAATCATTATAAGAATACATCAAGAATGGTTTTTAATTTTAAAAAAAATACATTAAGTCTTTAATTGGCATCATTAGTAAAATCCCTAATAATATTATCTAAAAAGTTATCAATGTGTACTAAAAATTATTTTATCTTTCTTAATTTCTTTACCATCGTATAAAGAATTTAGTCAACCTCAAAAAGAGAGCAATAATACTAATTACTACAAAAAAACTAAATAGTCGCTGTGCCTGAACAAGCTCACTTCCACATTGACGCTGATATTTTGAAAGCAAATAAGGATATCTTCCACATGAATATCTCTCGCGCTATCTGTTGGCAATTTTACTTGAAGATGATATGAACAGGGGAGCCCAAAATGCCATTAAGATTTGTTTTCAATCGACTAAGAAATTACAATAGTAAGTGATTTTATTAAAAATAATACAATATGAGATTTTCACCCCCACGTGTCATGCTCTTATGGTTTATGTTTTTTTCCCTCCAATATGGGAAATAGTGTATTTCATTAATCAGCAGTTTGATGTCATTTCACTTTCACAATCACGCATGAGTTCTTCGTGACGTGTAGTTTAATCTTTTAATACTGAGACCTTGCAAATTGAAATAAACATGAATTGCTAGTCATATCATGATCAAATGTTGCGTTTTTCACAAGTTGGCTAGTAAATTAGGAGTCAAAATAGCGAAGAACTTGGAGTGTGTTAGAGTCTTCTCCCAGCAGGTGAAAGTTAACGTCGTATGAATCATGAGAGCTCACGAGACATATAGTATTTGTTTACTTTCAATTATTTGCAAACCAGAATTTGGTTGTCCATTCAATCAGAACGGACACACTTCTCTTTTGATCTTGGATGGACATAATAATTGTTTATAATTTTGATATATCCATGCTTCATTCAATTTGTATCAATAATTCTTTGCCCATCATTACAGCCACTTGCATAAATAATATTTGTTTTCAACTTTTAAAACTCACAACTAATGAATGTTGATAACTAAGTTTCTAATAAAGGAGCATTAATATGATACAAATTTATAAAAGTAAGTGAGCTGATTCATCTTTATTCATTCAATTGAAGCATCTTCTCTCAAAAGTAATTTAGATTAAGACAACAACAAAAAAAGAATTAAAGGTTAAAAAAGAGAAAAAAAAATGGGTCCTCTTCGTTTCCTAAAGAAATGTACAAAGTCTTTGTCATTAAATTTTTTTAAAATATTGATAATTTTAAAAATTGAAAAAAAAAAAGAAATAGAAAATATTTGTATTAATAAAGAGATGGTATTTTTTTTATTTTAAGTAAATACAATCTAATTCAAAAAATTGTAATAAAACGATATATTGTTGTGAAACATTCAATCAATTTTTTTTACCTTTTGGTAATAGTATATTATTTTTTAACTTGAAAAGAATTACTTTCTTTTCTTTCAAAATTTTTATTTAAATATAAATTAAAAGAGTATTCTTGTTTTATTCCTAATTAAGTGCAACATCTTAACATGATAATAACTTTCTCACTACACGTTCTAAGGAAATGAAGCAGTGAGAAATTTGTTCATATTGCAGGTGTATTACACTAACGTATCTCTGTTTATTTAATGGTATAATCACATGTTACCAACAACGATACAAATGCTTTGTTTATATTATATATTTTCTTTTCGTGGTTACAATTGCACTTGACGTACACCGTTGTTAATACATTAATCAAAGCTATTCTAATTCGGTTAAAGATAGTTAATGGCAGCTCTTGGTCATGCATTATTCTAACCCCAACTGCGAATAATTTGATGGATTCACTATACTCCAAAATGATCTTGTCTTTTTTTTTCTTCTTGTTCTTTTAACAACATGCTAAAAATAATAAATAACTATAGAAATAAACAAAGCATTTAGTTTCAACATATTTTCATATTATTTAATAGATTAAATATAATATTAAATTTATAAATAAAGGTTATACATTTTTTTTTCAAATATACATGCACATTAAGTTGGTCGTATGCTTGAATAAAGATTTTTAAATAGTAATTTAATCGTTTAATTATTGAAAGATATATTAATTTAGATTTCAAATTACTGTTTTATATATAATAAAGCTGAATTTCTTTTAATTTTTAAATCTTACAATCAATTGTTTTTTGTCAATATTGAAAGTTAGTTTACTTATTTAACATTTCTCTATATATCTTCCACTTTATTTAAATTAAATTATTTTTCCACCCCTCTATTTTAAATAATTCAGCCTAATATATATTATCATTGCAAATTAATTTTTCTTTCCCATTTTCTTTATATCTATATTTATATGCTGTAAATCGAAGTGTTACTTTAATAATTCATAATCAATTTTTACGTTAAAATTTGAAGATTAAATTAACAATCTAACCTTTTTCAATAGTTCAATCATTCAAAAAACTTATTATACTTCAATTTTTAAACAGAACTATTGATTAACAACTTAAGTAATTGTATTAAAATTTGAAATAAAACAATTTAAATATTAACATTATAACTAATTAACTACTATGTGCTAAAGTCTTGCTTTTTCTTTAAGAACTCTTATTTATTTATTTTTACAATACCTTTGTATTTTAAACTTTGAAGGAATAAAGAGACGGAGATATAACATTTATAGAAATTGAGAAAAATTCATTAAAATATAGTATTTGTATAATTATGTTAGTTTTATAATATAAAAAATTAAGAAATACTTATTTTTATTTAAAAATTCATATTTTTTTTAAAAATAAAAAGCAATAACTTAGGCATTCATAACTAGATTTATCACATGAATTTTTATATAATAAAAAGTATATTTAGATAAACAACTTATTCAATTATTCTCTCTATCCTTTTTTATTTGTCACATTTTAAAAAAGTTACTTGTATTTATCGTTACTTAAAAAATCAATTATAGCCATAACTTAAAATAAAGGAATAAATAACTAATAAAAACCAACAACTTAGGCAGAACATGACATTCATAACTAAATTCATGATATGAATTTTTATATAATGAAAAGTATATTTAGATAAATAATTTAATCAATTATTCTCTCTATTCTTTTTTATTCGTCACCTTTTAAAAATTTTACTTGTATTTATCTGTTACTTAAAAAATCAATTATAGCCGTAACTTAAAATAAATGAGTAAACAACTAACAAATTATAAATTACATAAGTACTTGGTACATAAACAAATAAAAACCTGCTAAAAAAAAGTTACATGAAAACAAAAAATTTGACGACTAATAATAATAAAAAAAAAAAAACAAGAAAGTTTAAACGTTATAAGCTAAAAGGAGTAATAGGAAAAACACTAGTTTCCCTTCATCTAAGCATGGCGGCGAAAAGAGAGAGAAGTCTCTGATTTTAGGCTTTATGGTATGAACAACTAGTTACCTCACATTTCTTCCCAATTTCTTATTCAATTCTCATTCCCTCTTCTCCTTTTGTAAGTTTCTCTCTTCTCTTTCATTCCCCATTGTTGCTTCTTTCAATTTTTTCGCCTTTTCTAGGGCTTCATTCTTCCATCCCCAATATATATTCATTAACTAATATTTTATCTTTCCTCATTCATTTCCACAACAGAATTTAAGGGTAATTCAATCGCACATGCTTTGAACCTTACCTGCATTTTCTCCCGTGTGATAAAGGCAATGGTTTGAATCAAGCTTTTTTGAAAATATATAATTTTTAAACCAACCAGATTTTTATTTTGAAGTTTTTCTTCTCCCGTTCTTTGTGTGCTTTTTCTTTTGTTAATGAGGGGGGGTTGTTTAATGTATAAAAAAAAATGATATTCTTTGGGGACAATTTTATAGGATTCTGTTTGGGACGTGAAGAAGATGGGGATGTAATTGGAGAATTGGGGGCGAATAAAGGGAGGAAATCATACACAATGCCGTTAATCCCTTTGGGCTCAAGCTCGGAAGGGGTGGAGGATGGGGAGAAAAAGAGGAGAACTATGGTTTATCTCAATGTGTATGATCTCACGCCTGCCAACAATTATCTTTACCTATTTGGGGTTGGAATATTTCATTCTGGCATAGAAGGTTTGTCTGCATGATCCTTCTACTTCCTCTGATGTTTAGTTTTAATTTTGAGTTGAGCTTCTTGTGATGAGAAAATTCAATTTTGCAAATTGAAATAGAATTACCAAAATACATTATGGTGCAATATTTGATTATTGAAAACAAGAGAATAGAAAAACTGAAGCTGCTGTGTTGTAATGTATGATGTTTAAATCTATAATATGAATGAAGTTGCCGTGTATATTGATCAGCCAGGAAGAAAAGCCTGAGAATGCATCACCAGACAAATAAGTCATCTACTCATCCGTTGGGATTTCTTGTGGGATTGTAGTTATACTTATATGCCTTTAGAGAATACTGTGTGATAGAACACCAATTGATAATACAATATAATACTAACCATCGAAATACACATAGTATAGCAATATACTTGCTGTTCTAGTTCTAGAGATAAAAGTCACCTACAGACAGTATTTTCTGTCCACAAATTGCAAATAACAATACACCTACCTAATTTCATGCCTTACTATCGGAGACAATCCTAATACATACTGCCATTAGTTATTTTCGATGAATGACTGCCACCATGCAGTTTCTAATACAGAACTAATACAAAATAACTAATACAGGATGTTATTTTCTATCACATGTAATCCTAATTCTAACTGCCTCCAATCCATCAATGGATACTTTCAAACCCACATGGATCTCAGTTCCATCACTGCATGATGATGAAATGGGAAAAATTGCATAAAATGGTTGGTATATGAGGTCTTGCTCTGGATATTTCAGTCTTTAAGCGAGTGAGAACTTCCTGTTAACAATGACACTTAATATCAAACATGATTGGAAGTACGTCATCAATGTTTAAAGTGCATTAAATTTGGATGGTAAAGTTGGTAAGGAAATTGTTGATACTAATGATTCTAGACTTTAGTTTACTCAAAGGTTGGGGATTTATTAGTTTTTTTGCATGTGGTTATTAAGATATGGTTTTCTATCTTTTTAAACTTATGCTTCAATTATTTGGGCCTTTAATATACCTAGTTCTAATTTCTTATATTTTATTTTCTAAAGAATCTTAAATATATTTGGATTACTATTATTTTATCTCTTCTCTCTTTTTTGCCTTAGCTTTCTTTTCTCTTGATATTCTTGAAAAAAAAAAAAAAAAAAACTCCTGTTGTACACGTTTTGATTTGTTAGATTTTGGGATTATTTATTACTATACTAGAGAGTAGACAGTAGTTTGTTTATTTATCACTTTGGCTCCTTATCTCCAATGACTAATTGAATAATTATTTTGCCTTTCCCTTTGTGTGATTCCTTTCTCTGCTCTGCCTTTTTGTCTACTCTCTTGTTTGCCTTTGCTTTCCTTTTTCTTGATAATTTTAAAAAAAAATAAAATCCTATTATACGGTTTGTGATTTGTTTGGATTTAGGGATTATTTATGTTTTTGATTCAGTTTAATGTTGATTTTATGATTCAAAACTCAAAAGTTAACTTAAGAATACATTCTGACAATCAAATGCAAGCATTTTGATGGGCATTTATGAGTATTTTTAGGTATATGTTTGCATCATGTTAAAGGCTTAAAACACTCACATAAAAACATGTATGGTTACAATTTTTTGTTCTTCTGATGAAATGCATTGCCTTTCCAAAATATATGTGCATACTTTCATTGGCGAATTGTGGTTTCTCCATGAGCCAAGTTATGGTTAGTAATACTTAGTGCTATCTCTTGAGAGTTGAGTGACATTGATATTTTGAAATGAAAGGATGCTTCATCACTATTTCATGTGTATGTGATCATACTTCTAGTTAAGGCTGGGATGCCTTATGATTAAATAACACAATTGCTCACTCTAGCCGGTTTCTAATATTTTAGATATGTAAAGACACTGCTAAGGATGTTTTAAGAAAGTTAATGACAGTGTATCTTTATATGGCCTCTTTTGAGTTATTTTAATCTACTCAGATCATCCTTTATCCCTTTTCTCTGTTGTCTTGTGCTAATCAATGACATTGCAACCTCATGCACTTGCTACTTTTTGGTCATAACCCGTGCTTTATCTTTCATCTATGATTCCCTCACTTTAAGCATTTAGTATAAATCTAAATATACTAAACTTCTTAATTGTCTGGAAATTTTTGTTTTTATTGCCCTTGTCTGAGATTCTGGAATTCATTCCACTTTGATCTAATTAATGTATTTTGCATTGCTGCTGTTGTGCATCTTGCATTATCCCATACTAGATAGTTGACTGAATTTTGTGGGTTCTGAACAACAATAGTTCTTACATACTAGCTTAAGTTTGTGTTTGGATAGGGCATTTTAAATTATTATAATTTATATATTTGTAAAGTAAGAAAAAGTAGTTTAAAAATACAAAATAATTTTAACTAAATAACTTTTGTATCAAATAGAAAGAATTTCTAATGACTTATTTTTAGAGAGAATTTAAAAATCTTTCTATTATGCTTAACTTTTTGTATTTATCATTTATAACTCTTCTCATACCTAATTCTTACTCTTAAGCATCCCTCATTATTACTTTCATACTTGCTAGAATTTTAAAATTATCCATCCAAACACCACCTAAGGGTTTTTGTTTGATTTAGTATTTGCTGTGCATTGTTCTACCTTTTGTTAGTAGTGTCTGATACTGTATCATAGACCATTTACTTTTTCTTATTACTACCTTTCTCTAGTAGGTCATTTTGTTTTGTCATTCCAAAATATTTTTCAGTTTGTATTTTTCTCCACTCAGCAACACTTGCACCTTATAAAAGAAAGCAACTTATCTTGGTTATACTGTTCAAATTGGAGTTCAATGCACTGCTTTTGATTTAATCTAATTATCATAAAAATTTTGATATGTTTGATGATGATTATTGGTTTTGTTAATCTATTATAATGAAAGGTAAAAGCGAATTCATATGCCCATTTTAAGCTTGAGTGGTATTGAGTGGAAGCTGTGAAGGTATAAACAAAGGATGCATCAAACTCTGGAGGCTATCATAAATTATGCATAATAGATTAATAGGTCAAACATAGATGCCTATTTAATGTTTTTATTCAAGACATGAATCGAATTCCACCCTGTTATATTTTATTTGACAGAAATATCATTATTTAATGTACCAACTTTGGATACTATTAAGTTATTAGTTGCAACATCTTATGTACAAGTTGCCAATTAGAAAAAGAAGTAATTTCAAGAGATGTTATTTATTAAGGATGTAGAACTACATCTCTTAAACAAATTACTGATCAGAAGCTGGGATGTACTGCTTTGTTGTTTTAATATCCTCTTGAACTGACTTCAGCTTGTTGTTTTCTTGAATAGTGCATGGTATGGAGTATGGCTTTGGAGCACATGAGTACTCAACAAGTGGTGTATTTGAGGTGGAACCTAGAAGCTGTCCTGGCTTCATGTTCAGACGTTCATTGTCATTAGGCAGCACTGATATGTCTCGTTCAGAATTTCGTTCTTTCATGGAGCGCCTTTCTGCAAAATATCATGGAGACACATACCATTTGATTGCTAAGAATTGCAACCATTTTTCAGATGAAGTTTGCCAACAGCTAACCGGAAAGCCGATTCCTGCATGGGTAAATCGGCTGGCTCGTGTTGGTGAGGATTCTCTTTGATTGCTTATTCTGATTGCAGATAAACTCTATTGTCTTTTTGTCTGTTTTACTATGAATTTAGTATGCACATGTAATATGTGTAAGTATGTTGTCTTCCCTCTCTACTTTACATTTTAAATTAGATGCTTCCATGTATTCTTAAAATATATTTTCATATTACTGTGGAAATAAGTTTGGTCAAAATCTGATGGAGAGCGAGACTGAATGATCCACACGCCTACAATTGAGCATTGATTTTCCTAATCTGGTTATTGTGACCACTAGTGTAGTTGTAATCTGATCACATCCATTTTGAAATTTCAGGTTCTTTCTGCAATTGCCTTCTACCAGAAAGCCTTCAGGTTGCAGCTGTTAGACATCTCCCTGAACATCTTGCGCAATCTGGTAAGATATGAAGACAACAGGATTAGCTAATTGTTTGACAATCTGGTTGATATCTTTCAGATTTTATTGGCTGTTCGAGAAAGAAATATCTATTATGAGTAGCACATAGCATATGACATATCTATTATCTTTTCTATGCAAGTACATGTTATTACTTAACTAAGGAAAAATGAAAAACAGAAAGTGCACTCCAATGTGATTCATGAAAACCAGAAAGATTTGGAGTAGCCTTTCTTCTTTTGCGAAAAACCAGATATCTGTTCTTTTACCATATTATATAGACAAAGCACTTTGGTTTGTCAACCTGTGGGGGTAAGGATCTAAACATGTCATTGCAGATGATGAAGGATCAGAATTTGATGGCCTTTGTACGTCAGATGAGAGTGAAGATGAGGATTCCAATCATCACCTGCTAGCTACACCAAGTGGTGGTGGTGATGTTGCCATTATAAAGGAAAAACCAATGACTCTAGCACGGGACCTCCTATGATTTTCGTTGATTACTCCACCTATCATTATCATTCTTATTCTTTCTTCCTTCTATTGTATCTGTGATATTAGCTTTCACCATGTATCGAGTTTTCTCAACTGGAACATTGGAAACTCAACATGTTTTGTATCACAAAAACGAGTTTGTTGTATATGTCCTTTATGTTTCAAAATGGATTGTCCTCTAGATGTTATATTTACTATGGTACAAACAAAAAATGTTCAGGCATACAGTTAATCTGATTGTGTGGAGTGATATACTTTCGTCAATCTTACCACTTCTAGTTCTCCCTTGGTACAGTTTATGGAATGATGGCTATCAATTAAAAATAAACAAGTATGATCCAAAATTAACAAGTTCATGTTGCTTTTCGTATTGGTAACTTTCGTAAAGTTTTAAAAAAGGATCATTGTTTTTTTATGGTAGTTGATATCTTCAAACCAAATGCACAACTAATATTACGTAACTTAATGTGACTGGTGATGTCTGGCAGTTCATTCGTAACTCAATGTAAGCACCAAATCAACAGATTACTTTAGGATATTGTGAGAAGCGTTATCATAAGTAGTCAAAGCAGCTCGTAGTTGAACTTCTTGAGCTTGGATGGGAAAATAAATCAGTATTAGTTATAAATGTACAATAATGCTTGATATTTGTTAGCATGCGATTGAAAGTGGATTATGCATTGATAGTGCGCAAAACGATGGCCACCATCTCAACAAAACATAAAATTTCGGCTGAATACACTTGTGTTCCGAAAGGTCATCTGAAAATAATCAAGAACGCTATGAGATATAGTTTCTTAAAAATAACGATCTGGCACCAATTAGAAGATATCACCCAATCTAGAGCTAGTGAGAAGCACAGAATTACTCAAAGGATCACCTGTCATTGGTGACCTCGACCATTCAATGCCATTGATGAATAAGCATGCATTAAGAAAAAGAAGTCCCCAAAAATAAATCGTCATTCCGAAAACAAGATGAAATGTGTGGAGCAAAATGCAGGCATGGGCCGAACGAAAGAAATATTTTTATTATACATTGGTCACAAAATAGTGAAAATACATCATTGGGATTATTTCACGGGCAGAATTGCATGCTTAAACAGAGAAAAGTTTTGACAAAAAGAAAAACATGGAAAAGTTACACTTGCAAGATAGAGTATTGTCAGTCAAACCACCCCCACCCCCCTCACACTTCCTTCTCTTGATCTTATCCCCGTCCCCTCCGCCATAAACCAAAAATGAAGAGCAAAGTTGTTCCCATCAATTTCAAATTGAAACGTGGACTTCGTGGATATTATTGGGGGGAGTAGGATACTGGAGTTAAGCATACCGATTGTCTTGGCATTGGTAGTGATTTAACCGAGATAAAGGCTACCAAATGCGTAAATTCGTAACAGTAGCCCTCAAACCCTCCTCCCTTTTTCGATGCAGCAGTTAGCATTGCATCCATCGCAAAAGCTTGCATCGAAAAGGATTACTCCAGATTTGAAAGCCCTGACAAACCTAGTAATTAATTGATCAATATAAACGATGCACATTGATTGATTGACCCGCATGACACTCATCATTTGAATTCAAATGGGCAAACAACGGAATATACAGAGGAAAACACGTTATAGATTCAGGCCTGCCAAACATGGATTATTATTGGGCAGAACAAGGAAAACATGACAAACTCAGGCAACTTAGGCTGTTTTTTTAGTATACATGGATATCAACACTAATTCCTCCCAAGTGATTAGCACTGATGGAGCAACTGCTTTCCCTGCTCAGTTTCTCCGTAGTAATCTTCTGGTTAGTAGTACCATATCGCAGCCAAAGGCAAGATATTCTTGCCAATGCTGCCTGTCCAGCAACTCGCACACGGTAAACAACGCTTAAATCTGTCCACATTTCACCAGCCATGGTTCCTGATTGATTACTTGAGTCGTACCCTTCAAGATCTGACTCTGTTACTATGACTACAGAACTGTCATCAAATGTTACAAGATCTCGTGAAGCTGATGCTACCTTAGAAGTCCTTACTAATAGACCAGAGGTAGGAGCACATCCAACAACCCTCCTCATCATAAGGTGATAGTAGTATTCCTGGACAGCCTGAAATTTCAACAATTAAATTATATCAGGGCTAACCATTACTATTAATCATTTCCCAACACAAATTGAAAGAAAATTGTGTCGAAAATATGGGTCAAGAAAGAATAAAATGGAAATCAAAAGAAAGTTAGAGCAATGCCAGTCAGAAGTACAGCATACACACACTAGTAAATAAAAATTCCATTTCATATTCTCAGAGACTAACAGGTAAATTGAAATAGAAAGGTCCATAGAAATTCAAAATTAACAATGACAATGACCAAAAAGCAAGCTGCACACATACTTGCCACTGAGAGGAAGCTAGAAGCACCCTTGGCCGAATTGACTTCACATAATCATATGCAGCATCAGGTGTCATCAGTTTGTGGTGTACCTACACATAAAAACTCACAACATAAGAAAATTAGCCAATCAAGTACCAACCTCTTTTCTTTTTCTGCTTTGATCTTTTCTACTCTCTTTTTAAGTTGAGGCGCCAACCAGATAACAAATAACAATAGTCGTGCTGCGACCACGTCCAGCTTTGCAGTGGACATATGTAGTGCGTCCAGACAATGCATTTTCTTCATCAAAAGAACCCAATATGAGAAAAAAGTCAAAATCATTACAAATGAGTGAAATAACTAAATATACAAGGAATAAAGTTGTTGCAAACCAACCAATGATTGAGTTTTATAACTTCTCAATATTTAATCATTATAGTTATTTTTCTTTGTGGGAGGAATGATGGAATGACTTCATAAAAGAGAAGGGAATTACAGTGTAAAAGAAAAAGGAATATTCAACATACAACACACCCACTGACATTAGTTTATAATGCTCCCACCTTGTTGGCCACACCATGCAACACTTTACAAATAGTTTGATATCAATAATCAATTTCCCCACAGAATGAAACTTGTACATGCAACGAAGCAGTTGGATACCCTTATAGTTAACCAATTCTCTTAATACTCACCATGTATGAAGTCCACAGCACGGTGTATGTCATGCAATGATGGAGCGAAACAGTAATCTCTAGTAGGAATTACCAGATGATCAATTCCATGAGCCTGCCAAATTTTAACAGGAGAAAATTAAACATATATAGAAAATAAACCACATGAAAATCTGAAGTCATGAAAACACCCAAGAAGCTATAATAACCTAATGCAACGTGCCTTAATAGCCCATGAAACACAAATATTCAAAAAGAACTAGACACCCAGTCACCAGAACTGAGAGAAAGGGAGAAAAATTCACAATGCTAATATTTTTGGAAATAAAACTAATCCACTCATAAACGTTTTATTTCTTATCATACTATAAAAACCAAGATACGCTTACATTAGATACACATACAAGCATTTAACAGCAGCATGCTAGATTATAGTTAAGAGTAAACAATACTCCCTTGGTCTTCTGATTCGACCTTGCAATTTATTAGCCTGAACCATTTTCAAGTACATCTGCTTCATCTAATTATATTATGTGCTTATTTTAGTCAAACTTCAAAAATTTTCTGGAAGCTGAAAAGCCACCAAAGAAATTAATCGTCATCAAATTTCTATGAAAGCAAAACAAGATGAACAAAAATTTGCCAATCACTGCAAACAAAACAACTCTCTTCACTCACAAAAGGGGCACAGAAACCTAGCAACTGTGATACCTAAATTTCACAAGTTGTAGGTTTATAATTTAACATCATGCACCCTTAAAAATCAAGCAGTCGGAAGGATTTAGCTCAAAAATCAGGAGAAAAAACCAACCCTAAGATAAAACATTGACGGCAATAAAAAAAAGGGATATGTAGACTACTCACATGATATAATGTGGTTGGAACCAAAGTCTCATATGACTCGTTCAATGTGATGACCCCACGAACACCAAGCTCCTTCAAGCGGGGAACATCAATGGGAAATGGAACGGCACCTAACAATATGAACTGAAAATTAATTGCATCAGATTTAGAAGCAACCTTGTTTCGCACAAACAAACAACTCTCATACGCAACCAAGTTAAAAATGTCATCTCAGTTAAAAGAAAAAGAGACAGCAAAATCACAATCATGTGCGCACACGCATTATTTTGATCAATATACCAGCCAAATTCATAAACGACAATTGATTATCACACACAATTCATAGAATTTGTTGCATTATATTAAAGCTAATGTGCAATAAGTAAACTGCAGGTAAAAACAAACATATCAAAAAGAAACACAACAATCATTGACAGTATCCAGCACCAATCCGAAACACAACATAATAATCTCTTATCAACTTAATTATACTAAACAAAAACTTGACAACATTAAACACATGGTCGCATAAGAAACCATACCTCATCAACCCTATCCCACCATCGAAACTCAACCTGAATCTTATTTCTAACGACATTGTAAAAAAGGGTTGGATAGAAGAGCGCACGAGCACCAGCTCCAACCAATACCCTCTTCGCTTCGGAACCTACAAAGCTCGATCTTCCTTCCCCTCTAACTTCTCCCACCTCACCTCCCTTCAATTCCTCAATATGCATAACTCACTTTGATATCAGACAACAATTCCAGTAATATCAATATATTTACAACAACCTAATTAACAAATCGCAATCGATTCACCCAATTATCAACACGTATGAACTGCACTTTTTACACCCCTCGCAAATCCTCTATCGACAGCGCTAATACAACCACCCTAACAAGCACAAAATATACACAGAACAAACGTTAAAAAAAGGGGTGGATTGTCCCAAATTGCAATTGACGGATCGCAGAATAGATCGAGAAAACCTAGGAAATTGGAAATTTGCAACAATTCGAACAAGGAATGGAATATGGGAGAAAGGGTTGGCCGAGAAAAGAGTAAACGGAATTTTCCCGAGAAAATGAAACCATGTTTCGGAAAGGGTTGATCGAAGATGGATGAGTGATTGTCGTAACCAACAAGAGAGAGAGACAGACGGAAAATCTGTCGGGAGGAAAGAAAAGTAAAAGGGTAAGGAATCGGAAAAAGAGGGGAAATTGGGAATTGGAATCCCTAACCCTAAATTTTGTTGAATAAGAAAATGGCTCTTCCGCTCAACAAACTCTGAATCAGAAAGTAAAGGATCCGGGAAAAGGATGAAGAGGAAAATGAAAATGAAGTGGCAACATTTGAGTTACGCGATTGTGACACAAGAAAGGTGAAAGTCTCTGAGAGATTGACACGTAACCCACTACTTATAGCCTTTGCCTTTCGGGTGAGCTATGCTATTTTCAGAGAAATTGCCAACAGGTCATAGGTTGCTACGCCCACTTCTACATAAACTATATTTTACTATTTTCATATATATACGATTTTTTTTAACAAGTAGTTAAAGATATAAAACATGAAATTATATATCATAATTTTTACTAAATTATAAAATTTAATAAAAATATTATCATTTTTATTTTTATTATGTTTTTAAATATATATTAAATTTGAAAATAAATATTTTTAAAAAACATTTTTAAATGTTTGAATTTTATTTTTTATATATAGAAATATAGTGGAAAGTAAAAAATAAAGAAGGTAATCAAAGTTGAAAAGTGTTGAATAGTATATTTTATCAAGTTATTTATAACTTTATATGATTAAATTTATGTTAAAATATTTTTTTATTATTTAAATTAATTATTTTTTATATTTAATCATATTTTTGTTATAAAACTATTTTATCGTTATAGTTGTTAAGCAACTGATGATTAATATGTTAAGAATATTAATTAAAGAGATAAAAAAACATATTAAAATATTATTAATATATTTATAGCGTAATTTTTAAAATATTTTAAAATAATTTTTAATAAAAATATTGTATTCGTCAGTTTCTTAACCAAAACTTTAAATTATCAATTAGTAAGACTCTTAACTTGTATATTATTAGGGTTAAAATTAAATTTTAAATTTTTTTATAAAATTTCAATTTCAGTATTAAATGAATTTCTTTTGGTTCACGAATTATTTTAATTAGGTACTTTTTTACTCCTCTCATTAAAGTGGTATAATAAATTAAAAATTACATAATAAACTTTTAATTAGTCACATATCACTACTCTTATTAATTTTTTAAAAATGTTGATTTTCAAAAATAAGAGACAAATATTATTATTTTTATTTAATTAGAACACATCAACAATATTTTACACTATTGTTTAATCATTGATTATTATATTTGGTTGAATAATTAATTTCTGTAATAATTAATATAATAGTTATACTTGCTGTATATTCTAATTGATTAATAATGTAAATTTTCTTACACTCTTGTTGTACCAAATATAAACTCAACTTGTTTAAACTTGTTATTATACATTTTTTTTAATATATGCCCAATAACACAAAATAAAAATAATAAATGGTAAAATTTTATTTGAAAACAATAACATTTCGTGTTATTGTAACTTTTTCAATGCATTAATTTTGTAAGTATAAAAATTACTATTTATGAATAAATAATTCTACAATTTTATTATCGTCAACCTTAAAATTGAATTTAATCAACTAAAAATAATAATTTTTTATTGAAAATAAAAAAAATTATTACACTGGAGGAATAAAAAAAAGTATAATAAATATTTTCATCTTTAATAAAAAAAATTATGTTAATTAGTGTCTTAAAAAATTATAAATAGTAATTTTATTAAAAATTCTATTGGAATATTTTAAAAATTCAACCTTAAATAAAGTTGACAAAATTGCTAATAATAAATTTTTCTACCTCTTATTCATACCAATTTTCTTAATTTTTAAACGAAAAAAGTATTAAATATTTTATATTTGTAAGATAATAAATATATCACTTTTTATTTAATGCTTATTTTATAAAGTAAGTGAGAGTATTATTAAAAAATTGAGTATAAAATATAACAAAACTATTTTTTTTTTTATTATATGACTTTGAATATACATTAAAAACTGACATATATAATATAATTTTTTAAGATTAAAAAATAAAACATTTTTATTCAAAAGACTACAAATTTTAGAAGATCAATAACATTATATAATATAACTTTAAATAAAAATTATTATTTATTAATTTTTTTATGTGTCCTTAGACATGGAAATAAAAATTTATATATGATAAATTATTATTAAAATTATAAAATTTAATGTATTAAAAATTATATACTACTATTAAATGTTACATTTTAAATAAATATATTATTTATTAATCTTTTATTAGTCCTTAGAAATATATTAAAAAATATTTATAAAATTAAGAATTTTATAGCATTTTTCTTTATAAAATTTTATAAATATTAGTTACATAAAATCATTCTTTAAAAATTGAAGTTAATCAAACTCATAATCCTAAATTGTCTTACTCTATATAAAGTATATTGGAGAATTATTAGGAAGATGACTAGAAAGATATTACAAAAAAATTTATTGATATTTCAAAATATTTACGCACACTCATCCTCACCCTCAATGTGTATGAGAGAAAGATACTTTTTTTTAATGTTTGTTCACAGACATGCAGTAAGAATTTGTAAACAATTTTTGTTTATTAAAAATTATAAAATTTAATGTATTGCTTATTAATATTTTATTATGGTCTTTAGTCACATAATAAAAACTTATATATATTTTAAAATCACATAATAATATTAAATGCTATGATTTTTAATAAAATTATACTATTTTTAATTAGTTATTTTGTATCTTTGGACACATTGAAAATTTATTTATAAATAAAAATACTAGTAATTTATTATTATTATTATTATTATATATTTTTTATAATATTTCTTGCACATCTAAAATAAAGTATATAACATTTAATAATTTTATGTGATAAAGAAGATAAAAATTATATATATATATATATATATATATATATATATAATATTAGATAAAATATAGATAAAATATTCAAACAGTAAAACTCTTTTTAATTTAAATTTTTTCTTAAAATAAAAAATGCTTGATTTGAGTAGTGTTTTGATGGGGATATGTTTTGATTTGACGTGGCATGGCATAAATTTCATGTGGCAACAGTAAATGTAACTCTTTTTGGGGAAAACAATAAATGTAAGTGTAGTTATTTTTCAACGTATTTGACTTTGTGTTACGTGTTATTCTCAAATGGGATTCTAAAACTAATTCTGATATAAAGACAAGTGTCAAGTAACTTTTTTGTTAGTTGAAAATTTTATAATAGTTGTAAATTTACTTTTAAGATTAATTTTTAAATATAAATTACTTGTCTTTAAACGACTAAAATTATTTATATAAAATAAAAAAATTTAAATTAAGTTAAAAACATTTATTGAACACCCAATAAAAGTAAATAAATAATATTATATATTAAAAATCATAATGTTTACTATTATTATGTATTAAATATCATAATTTTTAAAATAAACTCTTATTACATATATGTTCTTGTTATATATTCTTACGCTTATATTACAATTTTGCTAATTTAAAGGTGTAAAGAATTGACAGTCAAGAAATGATACTTTATTTTAGTGCTTATTTCGGTAGTAATTGAAATTTATTCCTATTATGACACACATTTTAACATAAAATCATTATTCAAATTAATTTACACATGCCCCCTTATTGTATTTAATATGAAGATGAATAATTTAAATTTCCTTTGTCTTGTATGTCTATGAATTTTTTAAATTATTAAATAAAAAAATGAAAGTATGAAATAGTTATTATAAAACATTCAGAGTGAAATAAATTATTTAAGATATTGAAAAGATATTGATTTTCGCTAATAGTTGATAAGTTATTTAAGAATTCATAGTTTGAAGTTAAAATATTATCTTATAATCAATTGATTGAATTAAATTTTTTAATATATCTAATTAAATAATTTATAAATTAAAGTTATTGATTATAAATTTAAATTTTTAAAAGTTAAAACAAAAAATATATTCATACTTAATTTTTGACAAGTTAAAAATGACTTAAAATAATATTTTATAAACTAACTTTAAAATATATAAATATTTTTTTTATCTATTTAAACAACTTTTTTAACTTATGAAAAAATAAGTTATACATTTTTTAATAAGTTATAAATCTTTGATATCAAAGCTCCATTAGGTACTATTTGGATGTTTATAACTTGTAACTTATACTCGTTCTGATTCTTATGTTTCGATATTTTAACCTTTTTTTTTTTAAGTTTTGTTGTTTTAGATTTTTAATACTTACTTTTTTTAACCCTTTCATAAATGTTTTTTTCTTTTTAAACGTTTCCTTAAAAGTTCAAGAAATTTTTTTTTTCTATTGTATCCTTTTACTAAATTTTCAATTATTTTACAAATTTATTATAAATTTCATATTTAATTTTTTCAAATTTTAATAATTAACGAGACCAAATCATAAATTATTTTGGTAACTTATCTACACAATAATTCATAAAATATATTTTAATTTGCAGCATTAAGAGTTAATGAATAACGAGTACGATTAACAAATAAAAAATAAAAAATTAAAAAATGATAGAATTAAAAATTAGGTAATAATTTTTATACAAATTTTGACATTAATCAGTTGTCTTAAATTACGTGACATAACTTTGAATGACAAATAAAAAAGAAAAGAAGGGGGTAAAAATAATGGATGAATTTTAAATCAACTCATATTCTCACTTAATTTTTTTCTTAATATTAAATAAAGGTATTTTAGTACCATAATATACAAAAATAAAATATTAAATATAAAAGTTACAAATAAAAAATTGAAAATTTACTTCTATCAAGTTAAATATTTTTTAATTTTTTTCCAAATTTACTAAAAAAATAAATTATAACCTCTTAAATAAAAAAATTATAATGAATTTTTTAATTGACGCAGGAGGAACAATGGAGAAAATCAGAAAAAATAAATTTTACTTCTTCTGGTGAGAGTTACTAGAAAGTGGTGGGTCACGTTGAAGCAGAACCATATAAAATGTGACGTTGATCTTTATCCTCATCCAATCCGATAAAGAGTTGGTTGCATTTGCTTTATTGTTTTATAGCTAATTTCATTGCTACAAATTAGTAGGGGCGGCACCGTCCCTTACTTTCTGAACAGGGACCACACGGGTAATAATTTCTAGAGGGGTGTGGGTGTTAATGAGATATATTTTTTACATGTGAAATTTAGATTTTAAGATTAAATTTCAAAATTTTAAATATATTTATTATATTAA